CTGTGTAGAGAAGATTAGTCGAGCAACAGAAGCATAACCATAGCTACACAACTTAAACAAATGTATCGTATAACTACCAATATTGCTGAGACCACAATTGCTGGATTCCCCAGAGCCAAGCAGAACGTACTGGAGCACAGTACGGCGTAGAAGTTCACCGAGTACCAGCGTATACAGCGAAAGACGAATCAATTCAAGCCTAACCCAAACAAGCATAACGCAAACAAATGTAACCAAACTCAACCAAACGGGCCGAAATCGCTATAGCTGGCCTCTCCAGCACCAAGCGGAGTTTACTAGTGCACAGTAGAGCGCACAAAACCACCGAACAGCACTGTACAGCACAAAAGTTAAAGCCATCCTGACCTAACATAGCCAGACCCAACCTAACTGAACGTAACCTGACTCAACATAACGTGACGAGACCACTACTGTTGGACATCTCAGAGCCAAGCTGAAAGTATTAGAGCAGAGTAGGGCACCGAAACCAACATAATATCAGCCAATAACACTAAAGTCAAAGCCATCCTTTCCTAACCTAACCAATAGTAACATAACCGAACGTAACATAACTAAACCTAACGTGCCGCTACCACTATTGCTGGCCCACCCAAATGCAAGCAAAGCACATTAGTATGGAGTAGAATGCAGAAAACCGTAGAATCGCAGTGTATATGAGAAGAGTCTAAGCTTCCAAAACCTATCAGTAGCCAAAAGAACATAGCCAAACATAGCCTGACCCAACATAACGTGCCGAGACCGGTGTTGCTGCCATCCGCAGAGCCAAGCAGGACATACTAGAGTGCAGTAGAACGCAGAAATCCACCGAATAGCAGTGCACATCACAAAAGTTAAAGCTATCCTGACCGAAATCTGCCTGACCCGACCTTGCTGAAGGTAACGTGACCCAACTTAGCGTGCAGCGGCCTATGTTGCTGGCATTCCCAGAGCCAAGCTGAAAGCATTAGTGCCATGTGGGGCACAGAGATCCACCTAGTAGCGGACTATATCACTAAAGTCAGAGCTATCCTCTCCGAACCTCTCCAATCCTAACATAACCAAACGTACCCGAACCCAGCATAACGTGACGCGGTTACTACTACTGGCCTCCCCAGAGCCGAACAGAACAAGTTAGTGGAGAGTACATCGCAGACGTCCATAGAATCGCAGTGTACATCTGAAAAGTCATAGCTACCCGAACCTAACCCAAACAAACGGAGCATGGCCAAGCGTAGCCGAACTCAGCCAAACGATCCAAGACCGCTATTGCTGCACTCCCCAGTGCCGAACAGGGCATACTAGGGCGAAGTATAGCGCAGAAATTCATCGAATTGCAGTACACAGTGCAATAGAGAAAGGTACACTGACCAAACTCAGCCTGACCCAGCCTAACCGAACACATCCTGACTGAACATAACGTGCAGAGGCCGCTATTGCTAGCTTTCTCAGAGCCATGCTGAAAGCATTAAAGCAATGTAGGGCGCAGAAATCCACCTAATAGCAGACAACACTACTAAGGTCAAGGCCACGCTCTCCTAACCTATCCAATCCTAACATAGGCAAACGTAACCGAACCCAGCCTAACATCCTGCGACCACTATCACTGGCCTCCGCAGAGCCAAGCATAACACATTATTGGAGCGTTGGGAGCAGAAATTCATAGAATCGCAGTGTACATGCGAGAACTCAAAGGTACCAAAACCAAACCCAAACCAACGGAACGTAGCCAAACGTAGCCCAACACAGCCGAACGTGCAGTGGCCGCTTTTGCTGCCCTGCCCACAGCCAAGCAGGACATACTTGAGCACAGTAAAGCGCAGAAGTACGAGGAAAATCAGTGCACAACACTAAAGTTGAGGCTATCGTGACCAAGCTTAGCATATCCCAGCCTATCCAAACGTAACCTGACGCAACAAAACGTGCAGAAAAAACTATTGCTGGCCTCCTCATAGCCAAGCTGAAAGCATTAGACCACTGTAGGGCGTAGAGATACACCTAATAGCAGACTATAGCGCTAAGGTCAAACTACTTCTCCTAACCTAACCAACCGTGACATAACCAAACGTAACTTAACTCAACCCAACGTATCGCGACTACGCGTGCTGGCCTCCCCAGAGCCAAGTAGAACACATTATTGGAGAGCAGAACGCAGAAATCCATACAATCGCAGTGCATATCAGAAAAGTCAGATCCACCCAAACCTAACACAGACAAACAGAACATATCCTAACATAGTCTAACTCACTCTAACGTGCCGTGGCCGCTATTGCTGCCCTCTTCAGAGCCAGGCAGGAAGAACTAGAGCACAGTAGAACAAAGTATTCTGCCGAATAGAAATGTACGGCAGAAAAGTTGAAGGTACCATTACCAAAATTAACGTATGCTAGCCGAACCGAACGTAGCATGACTCATCATATCATGCCGAGACCACTATTGCTGGACTTGCCAGAGCCACGCTGAAATTATTAGAGCGCTGGCGGGTGCAGAAATGCACCTAATATCGGAGTATAGTGCTAAAGTCAAAGATATCCTCCCCTAACCTAGCCAGACGTAACATAACAGACCGTAGCATATCCCAACCTAACTTGCCGCGATCACTATCGCTGGCCTCCTCAGAGCCAAGCAGAAAATACTAGTGGTGAGTAGAATGCAGAAATGCGTAGAAACGGAGTGCGTGTCAGAGGGGTCAAGGCTACCCAAGTCTAACACAAACCAACAGATCATTGCCAACCGAGGCCTAACTCAACCTATAGTGCAGAGACCGCTATTGCAGCCAACCCCAGTGCCAAGCAGCTCATACTAGAGCACAGTACAGCGCAGAGATCCACCGAATAGCAGTGTACAGCACAAAAGGTGAAGTTATCATAACCAAGCTTAGTCTATCCCAACCTGACTGAACGTAACGTGACTAAACATAAAGTGCCGACGGCACCCTTGCTGGCCTCCCCAGCGACAGGCTGAATATGTTAGAGCACGTTAGTGCGCTGAGATCCACCTTCAAGGAGACTATAGCACTAAAGTCGAAGATATCCTTTCCTAACCTAGCCAAACGTAACATATCCAAACATAACGTAACTCAACCTAACGTGCCGCGAGCACAACTTCTGGCCTCCGCATAGCCAAGCAAGACTCGATAGTGGAGAGTAGAACGCTTAAATCCATGGAATCGCAGTGTGTATCGGAAAAGTCATAGCTATCCAAAGCAACAGAACATAACGAAAAAGAGCCTAACTCAACCTAACCTGCCGAGGCCGCCATTGCTGCCCTCACCGGAGCCAAGCTGGACACACTAGAGCAGAGTAGACCACAGAAATCCTCCGAACAGCAGTGCACAGCGCAGAAGTTGAAACTCCGCCAACCAAACTTAGCCTATCCTAACCTAACCGAACGTAACCCGACTAAGCATAACGTGCCGAGACAGCGATTGCTGGCATTCCCATAGCCAAGCTGATAACACTAGAGCAATGTATGGCGCAGAGATGCACCTGTCCGCGGACCATAGCTCTCAAGTCGAAGCTATCCTCCCCTAATCTAGCCAGACGTAACATAACTGAACGTAACCTAACTCGACCTAACGTGCCATGAGCCCCATTTCTGGCCTTCCCAGAGACAAGCGGAACACGTTAGTGGAGAGCAGAACGCAGAAATCCGTAGAATCGCAGTGTATATCAGAAAAGTCAAAGCTACCCAAACCTAATCCAAATCAACACAACATAACCAAACATAGCCCACCTCAAACTATCGTGCTGAGACCGCTATTGCTGAGCACCCAAGAGCCAAACAGAACATACTAGAGCACAGTAGGGGCAGTAATCCACCGAATAGCAGTGTACAGCGCAAAAGTTAACGCTACGCTAGTCAAGCTTATCCTAACCCAACCTAACCGAACGTGACCTGACCCAACGTATCGTGCCGAGGCCACTATTGCTGGCATTCCCAGAGCCAGGCTGAAAATATTAGAGCATTGTTGGGCCCGGTAATACGCCTAATAGCAGATCACGGCAATAAAGCCGAAGCTATCTTCTCCTACCCTATCCAACCGTAACATAAACAAACGTAACCTAACTCTACCTATCGTGCCGCGAACAATATTCCTAGCCTCCACAGAGCCAAGCCCAATACGTTAATGGAGAGTAGAACGCAGAAGTCCATATAATAGCTGTGCATATCAGAAAAGCCATTGCTACACAAACCAACAGGATATAACGAAGCATACCCTAGCTGTGTCTAACGTAGAGAGCCCTCTGTTTCTGCCCTCAGCAGAACGGCGGAATACCCGCAGGGACCATCGCAGCTTCGTGGGAAATTGTGCGGTATCCGCGCACGGCCATGTTTGCCATCCTGCAAGCGACTCGCCGGAGAACCGCCCGACTGCGCGGACCAGCGATCTGGTCGTTCGGCCAGGTCGGGTCTCCGTAAAAGGCCTCCGAGCGAACGACTCCAGTGTAGATGCGGCGCACCGTCCCGTCTGTCCCATCCAAGATAGGGTGTAGTAGACACAGCGCCCACGCCATTCCACGCAGGAGTGGCTCGAGCGCGAGAAAATGCTCGTCGATCCTCCAGTGGCCATCCTTTAGGAGAAAAAGATATTCCATCCGGTCCCGAACCACGACCACGACGCTCCCCACGCGCATGCGTGACGTTGGCGGCTTCCCTCGGGACAGTTGGCAAAACAACGTTGCCTCCGCCTTCTCGGGCGTGATGCTCCACCCCATCCGCTGGTTGATAATCGGGACGAGGGCTACGCCTCTTCCCGCTCGCCGCGTGGCCACATCCGTACCCGACGCGGCGGCCATCACGAGCGTGTCGTCCGCGTAACACTACAGGCGCAGGCCGCGGTGCAGGGTAGGTCGCAACACAGCGTCTTACGCGATGTCCCGCAGAATTGTCCCCGAGTACCGATCGCTGTGGTACACCGCAGTACGTTGCCCTGGAGACGGTCGAGTACTGTCCTGGATAATCGATCGAGCGCTCCGCCTAACAGTCGCCGATCACCGCCGTCATGTGCTGGGGATCCCTGTGGTGCAACAGAGCATACCGGATGGCGTATTAAAGGCGTTGGCGATATCCACGCCGACTGCCAGTACCACACCGCACCGGTCAACGGCAGCCTCCGACAGGTTACCAATGCGCTTAACCGCGTCCATCGTCAATCGACCCTGCCGGAATCGGAAATTGCTGACGCTGAGGTCGGGACCTGCGTTCGCTAATTGCCCTTGGAAGCGGGTAGCTAGAATGCGCTCGAAAATCTTGCCCGCCACGTCGAGCAGGCATATCGGCATGTATGCGTTAGGAGAGCCCGGCTGCTTCCCCGGTTTGGGGGTCAGGACGACTCTCGCCCTCTTCCAACACACCGCGAAGCAACCGGTCCTCAGGCAGCTGTCGAAAAGCCGCCGCACTCGTTCGCCACACATCTCCAGGGCCAGTGAAAATTCTCGGACTAGGATGCCGTCAACTCCGGGGGCCGCGATCCTCGCCCCCATAAGGTCGAAGCTATCCTAACTTAACACAAGGTAACCTAACCCAACCAAACGTAACCTAACACAGCGTAACGTGCCATAACACTGATGCTCGTATCCCGAGAGTCGAGCAAGGTATAGTAGAGCAATGTAGAGCGCACAAATCCAACGAACGGCGGCATAGAGCATAAAAAGTCGAAGCTATCCTATCCTAACCTATCCAAACGTAACATAACCGTACGCAACGTGGCTCAGACTAACGTGCCGAGACCACCACAGCAGGCATCCTCAAAGAAAAGCAGAATATACTAGAGCACATAAGTGCGCAGGAAGCTACCAAATAGCAGTGTATAGCGCGAAAGTCAAACGTATGCTAACCTAACCTGACCTAACCTAACCTAACCAAACGTGAAGTAACAAAACCTAACTTGCCGAGACCTCTATTGCAGGCCTCCCCAGAGCAAAGCAGAACGCACTAGAGAACAGTTTAGCGCAGAAATCTCCGAACAGCAGTGTATAACAGAGAAGTCAATGCCATCCTAACATAACGCAACCCTACCTAACCTGAACAAACGTAAACTAACCCAGCCTACCGTGCTACGACCGCAATTTTTGGCCTCCCTAAGGTCGAGCAGCGTACAGTTGTGCAACAAAAAGCGCAGAATCCCACCGGACAGCAGTGTATATCTCAAAAGACAACGTCATCCTATCCCAACCTAACCAAACGTAACATAAGCAGACGTAACGTAACCCAAACTCACGAGCACGAAAGGCTGATACTAGCCTCACTAGAGCTACGCAGACTGTAACACAGCAATTTAGAACGCTGAAATCGTCCGAATAGCAGTGTATTGCACAAAAGTAGGCTATATCATAAACTAACCTGACCTAACCTAACATAATCAAACGTAACCGATCCCAAAATAACGTGCCTAGCCCACAATTGTTGGCCTCGCTGCCACCAAGCAGAAAATATTAGAGCACAGTGGAGGGCAGAGGTCCATTGAATGGCAGTATATAGCGCGTAAGTCAAAGATATCCTTACCACACTAAAACAAACGTAACCTAACCAAACGTAACATAACACAACCTAACGTGCCGCGGCCACTATTTCAATCATTCCGGGATCAAGGCCGGGAATATCAGGTCGCAGTAGAGCGCAGCAGTCCACGGAATAGCAATGCATAGCACAGAAGTCAGAGCTTCCCTCTCCTAACGTAACCAAGCGTAACATAACCGAACGCAGCATAGCACGACCTAACGTGCCGAGACCACTATTGCTGGCCTGGCCGGCGCAAATCAGAGCATACTAGTGCACAGAAGAGCGCCGAAATCCACGAAATAGCTGTGTACAATATAAAAGCCAAAGCTATCCTCTCCTAACCACACAAAACTTAACATTGCCAGACGCTACATATCCCAAACTATCGTGCCGAGACCACTATTACTGGCTTGCACAGAGCCAATCAGAACATAGTAGAGCACAATAGAGAGCAGAAATCCACCACACATCAGTTCGTTCCACGAAAGTCGAACCTATCCTAACATAACCTAAAATAAGGTACCCTAACCAAACATAGCCTAACCAAACCCGCAGTGCCGAGCCAACTATTACTGGCCTCCACAGTGTCGAATAGGGGTATAGTATAGCAGTGCAGAGAGCAGGATACCACCGAATAGCAGTGTATAGCACAAAAGTCAAAGCTACCATCACCTAACCTATCCGAACGTAACCTAGCCAAATGTATCCCAACCCAAACTGACGCGACGAGACCACGATTACCGTCGTCCCGAGAAACGAACAGAGTATATCAGAGCAATGTAGAACGTAGAGATACTCCGAATAGCAGTGTGTAGCAAAAAACTCAATGGTATTCTATCCTGATTTAACCAAACGGTGCATAGCCGAACGTACCTGACACACCCTAACGTGCGTACACCACTATTACTGACCTCCCCGGAGCAAAGCAGAACACATTAGAGCACAGTAGATCGCAGAAAACCAGTGAAAAGCTGTGTATAGCGCAAAAGTCGAAGATAACCAGTCGTAACCTAACAAATGGTAACACTAGCAAACGTAATGAAACACAACCTAAGGTGCCGCCACAAGCATTGTTAACCTCCCCAGAGCCAAGCAGAACATATTTGTCGAAAATATTGCGAAGAAATCCATAGAACTGCAGTGTACAGCAGAAGAGGAATAGACATTCAAACCTATCCAAAACTAACATAACCTAACCTAACGAAGCCAAACTCAACGTAACGTGCCGCGACCACTATGGTCTAACCAAGCGTAATATAGCTCAACCAAGCCTGACGCGACCACTGTTGCTGGCCTCCCCAGAGCCAAGCAAGGGATATTAGAACAAAGCAGAAAGCAGAAATCCACCGAATAGCAGTGTATAGCACAAAAGTCAATCCCACCATAACCAAACCTTATCCAACCTCCCCTATCCAAACATATCTTAACACAAAATTTCGTGCCACGATAAATATTGCTGCCCCCCCCTCCTGAAATTCGAGCAGAGTATAATGGAGCAATGTAGATCGCAGAAATCCACCGAATAGCAGTGCATAGCACAAAAGTCAAAGCCATCCTAACCAAACATCTCCTAACCTAACAACTGCAAACGTAACGTAACTCATGCAAACGTGCCACGAACTCGTGCCACGAACATGATTGCTGGCCTCCGTATTGCGAAGCGCAACATATAAGAGCACAGTAGAGCGCAGAACTGCACTGAGCATAGGTGTTTAGCGCAAAAGTTAATGCTACACCATGCTAACGTATCCAAGCGTAACACTACCAAACGTAACGGACCTAAACCTAACGTGCCGCCACCAATATTGCTGGCCTCCCCAGAGCCAAGCGGAGCACATTAGAGGAGAGTAGGCCGCAGATATCCATAGAAAGCAACTGTGCAGCAGAAAAGTCAAAGATATCCAAACCTAACACAAACAAACGGAACCTAACATAACATAGCCGAACACGACGTATCCTGCCAAGACCGCAACTGCTGGTCTCCCCAGGGTCGAGCAGAGTAGAGTAGAGCAACGTAGAGCGGATGAACCCACCAAATAGCAGTGTATGGAACAAAAGTCGATGGTATCACAACCCAACCCGACCAAACCCAACCTAACCAAACACAGCCTAACTCAACCTGCAGCTCCGTGACTGCAATCAATCCTCTACCATAGCCAAGCAGGACATACTAGGGCACATTGCAGCGCAGAAATCCACAGATAATAAGTGTGCAGCGCAGAAGTTAAAGCTATCGTTTCCAAACATAGCATAACCCTACGTAACCGAACGTAACGCGGCAAAACGTAACTTGCCCAGGCCACTATTGCTAGCCCTCCCAGAGCAAAGCTGAAAATGTTAGAGCACTGTAGGGCTCCGAAACATACCTAATAGCAGACTATGGCACCAAAGTCAAAGCTGTCCTCTCCTAACCTAATCAGTCACAGCATAACCAAGCGTAACATATCTCAAACTGATGTGCCGCGACCTCTATTGCTGGTATCGTCAGAGCCAAGCAGATAATATTAGTGGAGAGTAGAACGCAGGAGTCCATAGAATCGCAGTGTATATCAGAAAAGACATGGCCGCCCAAGCTTTAACCCAAGACAACAGGACATAGACAAACATAGCTTAACTCAACCTGTCGTGGCGAGACTGTTAATCCTTCCCTCCCCAGAGCCAGGCAAGGCATACTAGAGCACAGTAGAGCGCCGATATCAGCCGAAAAGCAGTGTACATCACAAAAGTTAAAGCTACCCTGACCAAGCATTGCCTGACCCAACCTTACCGAACGTAACCTGACTCAACGAAACGTGCAGAGGCTACTATTGCTGGTGTTCCCAGAGCCAAGCTGAAAGCATTAGAGCACTGTATGGCGCAAAGATCCACCTACCATCCGACTGTAGCACTATAGTCAAAGCTATCCACTCCTAACCTAACCAATCGTGACATGAACGAACGTAACAAATCTTAAACAAACGTGCCGCGACCACTATTTCTGGTCTCTCCAGAGACAAGCAGGACACATTAGTGGAGAGTAGAAAGTAGAAGTCCATAGAGTCGCAGTGTATATCAGTAAACTCAAAGCTATATGTGCCCAACCCAAACCAACGAAACAGTAACAAACAGCGCCTAACAGAAGCTAAGGTGCCGAAACCTCCATTGCTGTCCTCCCCAGAGCCAAGCAGGACGTACTACAGCAGAGTAGAACTCAGAAGAATACCAAATAGCAGCGTACAGCAAAAAAAGTTAAAGCTACCCTAACCAAACAGCCTAACTTAACATAACCGAACGCAACCTGACTCAACATTACGTGCCGAGACCACTATTGCTGACCTTCCCAGACCCAAGCTGAGAATACTAGAGCTCTGCAGGTCGCGGAAATCCACCTAGTAGCAGACTATAGCGTTAAAGTCAAAGCTATCCTCTCCTAACCTAATCAAAATTAACATAACCATACGTAACATAATTCAAATTTTCCCGCCGCGACCACTATTTCTTGCCTCCCTGGAGCCAAACAGAACACGTTAACGGAGAGTAGAAAGCAGAAATCATTAGAAACTCAGAGTATATCAGGAAAATCTATGATAACCAAATCACACACAAACAAACAGGACATAACCAAACATAGTCTAACTCAACTTAACGAGCCGTGGCCGCTATTGCTGCCCTCCCCAGAAGCAGGCAGGACATACTAGAGCACAGTGGAATGTAGAAATCAACCGAATGGCAGTGTGCAGAGCAAAAGTTGAAGCTCTCCTAACCAAACTTGGCCTAATGGAACCCAACTGAGCGCAACGTGACCCAACAAAAAGTGCAGAAGCCACTATTACTGGCCTTCCGAGGACCAAGCTGAAAACATTAGAGCACTGTAGGGGCCCGGATGTCCACCTAATAGCAGACTATAGCACTAAAGTCAATGCTATCCTCTCCTAACCTAACCAACCGTAACATAACCATACGTAACACAACTCAAACTAACGTGCCGAGACTGCCATTGTTG